AGAACAGGGCTTTGACCTAAGTTAGGGTACTGCATTCCACCCTAATCCTGCCTCATTAACATACCAAAATCACCCAATTATCATTAATAGAACCAATTCCTGCCTCCTTAACACATTGTTGTTAAGTGCTGTTTAGGGTCTGACTCTTTGCCACCCTGTATAGGGTCTCTGAGAATGGGCTGGTGGGTTTGAACCCACCACCTTGTGGTTCAAGCCAACCTTGTGGTCCAGTGCTAAATCCCACAGCACCGTACCAGGGCCCCTTAATACATGGAGGTCATCATGAAAAGGATAACGACACAAAACTGGAACTCATGGACTAGCCAAATTGACATATATTTTGGGGGCACACAATTCAATCCCTGACAGTGAGGCAGAGGTTGAAGGACTTCCCAAGCAGAGGGAACTCATGGAAAAGCACACCACAAAATCCACACCTGCTGCCATTGAGTTACTTCCAACTCATAGAGACCCTGAAGGGCAGAGTGGAGCTGCCCTCTAGGATTCCCAAGGCTGTCATCTTAATAAAAGCAGACTGCCACATATTTCTCCTGATGTGGGATTGAACCATCAACCTTTGACTCAGTAACTGAGTGCTTAACCACTGCTCCACCAGGACTCCTGGAAAGGCACAGAAGTGGCATGAAACCACAAGAAACATTCAGAGAACAGCATGAAATTCAGAGTGGCTGAAGCAAAGTAAATTTAGGGGAGAAGGGCAGGATGTAAAGGTGAAAAGGCAGTCTGGAGTGAGGACATATGGAGATTGTGTGCCAGACGAAGGAACCAGCATTGAAGAAAATGGGTGGGGGATTTGGAGCAAGGGTGTGATCAAATCAGGTTTGTGTTTCAGGAAGATAGATCTCTGTTAGAAATGGGCAGAAATAATTTGAGGGGAGTAAGGCAGTGTGTTAGCAGTTCAAAACTACCGGCTATTCTGTGGGAGAAAGATGAGGCTTTCTTCTCCCATAAAGATTTACAGCCTCGGACCCTGTATAGGGTCGCTATGGGTCAGAACCGACTCCACGGCACATAACTACCACCACCACCACAGAGGTAGTGTGTAGCAAACCTTTTCTGAAAAGGGCCAGCAAGTAAACATTATTGGCTTTGCCAGTCATATGGTTTCTGCCAGAACTATCCAACTTTGCGACCACTGTAGTGCTAAAGCGGCCAATACATAAATGCGTGTGACAGTGTCTTCCCCCCCAAAAAACCAAAAACTTCTGTTGATGAACTCTGAAATTTGAATCCCATATAATTTTCACATGTCACCAAAAATTGCTCTTCTTTTGATTTTTTCCCCAACAGACTGGATTTGGCCTGCAGCCTGCATGTTGCTGTTTAGTAGCATATGGGAGTGAAGAGAATATAGACAAGATTTTTGAGAAGCTTGTTTCTGGAGGGGAGAAATTGTGAAGTAGCTCGAGAGAGGGATGTAAATGAAGGGCTGTTTCTCAGAAGAGATTATAGAGAGCAGAAAGAGACCATGGAGGAGCCAGGGGAGATAGTGGTAGTGGCTGGCGGTAGGGAGCTAATTGTTGGAGTAGATCCTGGAAGAGATAGGATGTGATGGAATGCAGAACACAGGCTGAGGAATTCACTTCAAAATAGAGGCAGGAACATATCTTCCATTGAGGCTAGAATGGAGAAAGTGTGGGCACTGATGATAGTATTCAAATGGCTGCGGGAGAGGAAGGTAAGGATTATTTTCTTTGTTGTTTCTATTAAGTGCAGTCGAGTTGATTCTGACCCATAGTGACCCTGTATAGGGTTTCCAAGGAGCAGCTGGTGAGCTTGAACCACCGACTTTGCAGTTCAAAGGATTTTGGGACCTTGATTTTCCCAAGAGCAAGACTTGAATTATTTGTTCAGCACTAGCGTCACCCAAGGAGCTCTGGTAGCATAGTGGTTATGAATCGGGCTGCTAATCTCATGGACAGCAGTTCAAAACTACCAGCTGCTCTGTGGGAGAAAGATGAGACTTTCTGCTCCCATAAAGATTTACAGCCTTGGAAACCCTGTACAGGGTCGCTATGAGTCGGAACCGACTCCATGGCACATAACAAAAGAACCCAGCATGGTAGTGATGTTGGGAGAGAGAAGAAAGTTGTAAACCAGATGTCCAAGTCATTTGATGACAACAACACAGAAGGGAGTGAGTGTCAGAGCTTCAGAAAGGGTGGAGAAGTAATGGGCTGGGCACAAAAATAAGGAGTGGGCAGTGTAACAATTTCTTCTTTGGGCCACCTGACACAGGGTTTGCCGTGTGTGGATGTGTGCATGTCGTCTGTGTAGCACAGTGGGGTTGTGAGGAGATGACCAGCTTCTGCTTGAGGCAGGTTCAGATCGGGATGTCCTGGATGAGATACAGATACTGGTGAAGGGTTGAGATGGAGGAAGCATCAAGGCAACTATTGAGAGGTTTAGTCAGTTCACAATGGAGGGCATTCCAGTGACCACACCAGTGGAAAGGGCAGTAGTGCTAGAAGGCATGGAGGGACGAGGTCAAAAGCACAGAACAATGCTGGAGTGAGGCAGAAGTCCATTCCGAGGGGAGCTTCGAGTGACAGAACACTGTTTCACTGTTTAGTGCCTTTTCTTTTTTACGCTCGTTTATCCTCAAATAACTTAAATAGTTGTCTAAAAGCCAAACCAAATCGGCTGCCATCAAGTTGATTCTGACTCATAGCAACATAGCAGAAATGCTCCATTGGGTTTCCAAGACTGTAATCTATACGGGAGCAGATTGCTACATCATTGTTTTCTGCAGAGTGGCTGGTGGGTTTGAACCGCCGTTTAACCAGGACTCCTAAAGAGCTGGTTAGTGGGTTGATTTCACACTGGGGTTCCTTGGAGTTGCCTGAATGTGATTCATGAAAACGTTTGAGAATCCCATAGGCAGAATGCTGGAGCTCAATAGATAGTAAGCACTAATGGTAAGGATATTTGTTAGTGTTGTTAAGTGACATCGAGTCAATCCTGACTCACAGTGACCCTATATAGGGTTTTTTAAAGAGCAACTGGTAGGTTTGAACCAACAACCTTGGGGTTAGCAGCTCAGTGCTTATCCTGCAGCGCCACACTTTGAAGCAAGCACTTTTACTTTTTGAGGTTGGCAGTAACCTCAACAGGAGAGGCTCACTATCCAACAGGTAGAGAAAAGCCTGAAGAGAAGGTGGTAAGTCTGTGGCCGTAGAAATGAAAGTCAACAGACTAAGGAGTGAGGTGAGATGTACGGAGAAAAATAGAAATACACTGGCCTTAGACAGAAAACTCCAAGGTGGAGGTGAGAGCTGAACATTCTGATATGCAAGGTTGTGAGATATAGGAGGCTGAGAACAGAGAACAAACTCTACGAAGAAGAGAGATGTCAAACGTGTCTTCCCAGCTCGTGAGGTCTACTTTAAGACATCAGTAAACAGGATCCACGGAGTTTTGGTGTGGCTCTGTAGGATAAGCATTAGACTGCTAACCACAAGGTCAGTCAGTGGTTCAAACCCAGCAGCTGCTTCTTAGAAATAATAAACAGGGTTCGTTCCCATGAGTGGGATTGAACTAGCGGCACTTAACAACAACATACAGGATCAAGAGACAGGAGATAAATGCACAACAACACAAAAGACTTCTTCAGGAGGGGAGAGGGATTTTTTTAGCACAGGTAAATTTGGGCACATACCTGTTGAATCTTCATTGAGAGATCCATGAGTTTCTTTCAATAGGTTCCGGATGTGAGAATTGATTATATTAGGTGTTCACAGTGAAAAGAAAACCTATTGCACATACATGCCTTTGAATCTTTTTATTTTTATTTTTAATAAATCAGTCCATGTGTGGCCTTGTAGGATAAGCACTGGACAGCTAACCACAAGTTCGGGGGATTCAAATCCACCAGCTGCTCCTTTGGAAATCCTATACAGGGTCTTGTGCAGCAGATTTGCCTAATGCAATACGTCATTTGATTTCTTGACTGCTGCTTCTGAAAGTGTTGACCTTTTTAAAGTGTTGAAGAGCAAGGATGTCAGCTTGAGGACTAAGGTGCACCTGACCCAAGCCATGGTATTTTCAGTAACTTCATATGAATGCAAAAGCTGGACAGTGAATAAAGAAGACCGTAGAAGAATTGATGCCTTTGAGTTGTGGTATTGGAGGAGAATATTGAAGGTGCCATGGGCTGCCAAAAGAACCAATAGATCCGTTTTGGAAGAAGTGCTCCCTGGAGGACAGGATGGCCAAACTTCTTCTCTCATATTTCGGACATATTGTGAGGAGGAACCAGTCGCTGGAGAAGTATACCATGTTTGGTAATGTGAAGGGTCAGAGAAAAAGAGAAATGGATTGGCCAAGTGGCAGCATCGATGGACTCAAGCGTGGCAACAGTAGTGAGGTTGGCCCAAGATCGGGCAGTGTTTCGTTCTGCTGTGTACAGGGTCACTGTGAGTCAGTGCCGACTAGATGGCACCTAACAACAACAACAACAATACAGGGTCTTAATGAGTCGGAACCACCTTGACTGCATTTAAAAGCAACACACTGTCATTGTTTCCCATGAAGACAGAACAAGGAGAATCCGATTTAAATGTACAGAGATGGAGACTTAGGTCACTCCCAATGGGACAACTACTTAGCCTGTTAAGAGACGCAGGGGGACAATATTGTGATGGGTTATGAAAAATCGATTTTCCTGAGAGCGCTAAGAATACGCTCAAAGCAGACATAACCTCTCTTGGGTCACAATGAGCGGATGTTTCTTTTTCAGAAGGCAGTGTACTAGATCTATGGCTTTTCCTTCCAGGATAGCCCTTGGAGAGGGATGAGGAGGAGGACAGATGGGCAGTGGGAAGGGCTTGGGGTTGGCGTGTCCCCTTTAAGAGCGGTGGCGCGGAGGAGGTGCGCGCTGCGCTGGCGGCGCCGGCCCGCCTCTTTCCCGTGAGCCCTCAGGGAGTGGTCTGATCGCGGGAGGCCACCGGTGAGGAACGGGTGGAGGGTGGGGGGGCTACATGGCACGGCGCGGCTGGCGGCGGGTGCCCCTCGGCCGCTGGCTGGGCGGCAGCTGCCTCTGGGCTCGCGCGCTCACTTGGCCCCTCTGCTTGCTCCTCGCAGTGGGTGTCTTTGGCTGGGCCGGGGCTTCGGACGGCGCTGGCAGAGCAGCGAGAGCCATGGACGAGGAGATCGTGTCCGAGAAGCAAGCTGAGGAGAGCCACCGGCAGGACAGCGCCAACCTGCTCATCTTCATCTTGCTGCTCACGCTCACCATCCTCACCATCTGGCTCTTTAAGCACCGCCGGGCCCGCTTCCTGCACGAAACCGGCCTGGCCATGATTTATGGCAAGTGTTTCAGCCCTTGCAGCCCCCTGGCCCTTCCCGGCCTACCCACGCACCCCTCGATTCCTTCCATTTTCTGCTTCGCCACCAGCAGCCCCCGTCTCGCTGCCTCTCCCTCCTTTTTTTCTGCTGCACGCCCCCCTTTTCTCTGTCTGGCACACCCTTCCGCCTGCCTCTGCACCCCCTATTTCTCCTCCGACCCCACCCCCTTCCTCTGCCAGGGCCCTAGACGGAGGGAGGGTGGGAGGGGAGTGGGCGCGGTGGTTCAGGTTGGGCTGGGGGAGGGGAAGACAGCATTTCCATCCTTGTCTCGGGGTGTTTGTTCTTTGGTGGAAGGCTTACTGGCGCAGCCGTCAGAGCTCTGGTGGCAAAACTGGGCGTTTTGGGGGCGGCAGAGTCTACCCTTGCCCATCACCCAGCTCTCGGAGAGGTGGAGAAGGCAGACTTTCCTCCCATGCCTCCCAAGTCCCAACCTGAGCATGAGAACGAAGGCGCTGGGTGTTTTTCAGGATGTGCTGGGCCCTTGTCTAGTGTGGGTGTGGGACACCTGATCCCTGATCCGGACATGCCTGGTTGACCCTTCTGAGCCAGGGGAACCGAAGTGTGTTGTGTGCTGGAGGACGATGGGACAGTGCAGCCAGTCATTCCAAACAGCACGCAGATGCTGGCCGGCCGGGTGACTTGGTGACCTGGTGTTGGCACGGAGTGGTTAGTTGGTGGCTTTGGTTCTCTTGCCTCTGATTGTTTGCTTTTTTGAGCGGATTTATTTCCATGACTTTCTTGGTACTGTATAGGGTCACTATGAGTCTGAACCGACTGGACGGCCCCTGACAGCAACAATAACTTGGTAATGGGGGAGAATGGCAAATCAGATCATGGGTTCCGAGGTCTCCTGTGCTATGCAGGTGACTTTCAAGAGATGAGAAGAAGATACAGTGTGCTGACTGTCCTGACGGAAGAGGACTTGGGAGGGTTTGGCCAGAGATATGAGGAGGGACCATCCCTTCTTGGTAGCTCCCAAGTGAAGGGGGTTTATCTTCGTTTAGAACAGACCGATACCGATGAAGCTGGTAGAGAGAGATTGGTGTCTCTGAGTGGCATAGGTTAAAAGCAGCCTTGACACAAAACCATATCGCTGCACACGCCCCCACCCCACGCCCTTGCCAGGAGATGAGGCTTCTGGAACGTGCAGCTCAAGGATAGCAAGGAAAAGGTAGTTGGGAGTGAATGCCTCAGGAAACTACATAAACCCAGTTAATGTTTTTCATTTCTAAGGTAATAAAATTCTAAAACAAGGTGCTCACTGGGATTCCTAGATTGGGCTCATTGTCAGGTGCTTTTTATATTTCTTATTTTTGAGTGGGATTTGCCATGCCCCTTAAACTACAGCATCCAGATAAATTATGCTTTTGTGTATATAAATTCTCCATATAACAGCGTGTGATTTAGTAACTATCTTTGACAAACATATACTGAGCAACCTAACTGTGTATTATGTATAGAAAACGTAAAGATGTACTAGATCCTTGCCTGCAAAGAACTGATGATTCTTCTTGGGTACATAGATCATATTTTAAAAACGGCATCTTAAAATTCCACTAAAATCCAAAGGAATATGACAGTATTAAAATATGGAACTGATCATAGGTGCACCTTTCGTGTATAGATTATTTGATGGTATGATGTAGTAGTGGTCAAAGGTGCAAAGCTTTATGGTAAATACTCTTGACTTTCTGAGTAACATCGGCCTCTTGTGTCTGTGTTGCATTTTCCTTTTGTTTTAATTTTATTGTCCTTGAAACATAAAAAGCATTCTTGGCTCTTGAACCATACAAAAAGGACATAGTTTGTAGATCCCTGCCTTTGAGTCAGAGTTTGTAGTCCCTGCCTTGTGTTCCCGTTCCACTGTGTTATTGTTAAGTGTGGTCTAGTCCGTTCGTACTCTTGGCGATCCTGTATAGCTATGGCAAGTCCCTTATCCTCTTCTCCCCTCATCTGTAAAGTGGAGACAATGATAGTAAGATTATTGTGAGGAAGAAATGTTTTTAGTTTGGTGCCCTGCATAGATGCTCAGTAAATAATAGCTGTGCTGTTGTTACTATTGTTGGTATAACTGACGTTTCTAAGTTAATAAAAAGTGAGGGAGTTGCCCTACCCAGGGACTCCATATTCTACATGTATGTATGCCCCAAACCCAATCCGTTGATTCATGTTGATTCCTACTCATAGCCGCTTAATCCTCAGGACAGCCTCATGAGGCAGAGCTGGTTATCTCTTCATGTTGTTCATAGTGACCCCATGCACAGCAGAACGAAACAATGTCTGATTCTGGGCCAACCTCATATACATGCGGGTAGTATGATTAAATAAATTAGGAAAGAAACTGAGGTTCAGAAATGCTAGAAAATATTTTTTAAGGCTCCACAGCTAATATCAGAGTCCCTATCTTATCAGTCTATATTAATTCATTTAAACCATATTCCTCCATGGGCTGTTTAAGAAAAGGCCCCACCTGCAACTGCACCAAAGGATTTTCAGTCTTTTAATTTAAGACTTTGATTCTTGTTGAACTACAAATCCTCTGGCATAGGTAGCATTTTAAACTTTTTTAGGCTATGTGCTTTACTGTGACTGCATTTTGAATTTCTTCTTAAGACAGCTTTTGATGGATCATAAGGAAGGTGATGATAAATAATATTGGATTTCCCAGAAGGAGGAAAAATAGATCTGGTGAAAAGAGGAAAGGGGATTGTAGGATAAGAGACTGAGGTATCAGTAATGACTTTCACTTCACAGTTTTGTGTAAGGTTGTAGTTATTGGGATTGGAAAGTCAGTAACAGACCATATTTTCATGCATCTGAATTTTACAGTTGAAATGATTGCAGGCAATTGAGCCTTTTGCTTTGTTAAAGAACTACCTGTAAGTGATCACACTGAAGACAGTAATTGGAAAGGGTATACAGGAAGCTTAGCGACAGCGAGTGTATGTTCATGGGGAAGGAACAGTTTGGAAAAGGTGAGAATGGTTCTGTTTTGAAGGACATCAGTGTCACAGGACTGTACATGCAGAAATTATTAAATTGGTGTATGTTCTGCTGTGCATGTTTTCAACAACAACAAACATTAAAAGCAAAAATACTGGAAATAAAGCAAAGGAGTACCTTAGTGTCAATATTTTATGAAGGAAAAAAGATTAGAAAATTAGATTTCTCTTGTGGTCTATGAAGTGAAAGAGTGTTAACCTGCCAGTCAGTACTGGTGTTGACTTTGCCACAGCTTGGCATTCGTTAATCTGTCCCATTTTCTCAGGATAGGAACTGGGCACTGGGGACTTATTCTGTTGACTAACTCCCAAATCTAGTTTTAGAAAAGATGGGATCGGGCCAGAATGATTTTCAATACTACGGAAATTGACATTTTCCAATCCCAGTTACTGTCTGTCATTTACCTTGTGAATCTTTCTCCATCACCGCTATTATGTTACTATATTAGTTGAGAGACAAGATCATCAGCTTTCTGTTCAACAAATCATACACTTTGTTTCATCTCAATGATTACATTCCCCTCTGTGCAATAATAGTTGCCTTGTAGTTCCTGTTTGCATTCCATTCATGTTCCTGTCCCATTTCAACTTGTCCTTAGGAAAAAGTTGTCTTTTTGATTTACAATGATTGGCCATTCCATGGTGAGCATAGTTCACTAGTGCTGTCCGTCTCCCCCACCCCCCTATAACCCTATCTACTGCTTGACTGAAAATTGGGCCACAAGGGTGAGTTCCTCTCCAGACCTGAGGGTGATTGAGGGCCATAGCCTCAGGTTCTTTCAGTCTTTCTGACAAGTAAACCTGGTCTTTTTTTCCCCCTTAATTAAAAAGTTTTGAGTTTGTCCCCCATTTTCACTCACTGTCTCCAGGACCCTCTAATGTGATTCCTATCAGGGCAGTTTGGTAGTGGTAGCTGGGCACTGTCTAGTTCTTCCGGTCTCAGAATCATGGAGACTGAGGTTCATATGCTCCATTAGTCCAGTGGACTAATTGATGCCAAGTCTCTTCAGTTCTCATCACTCTTCTTTCTTCCGCACGTGGAGAGACCAGTAGCCGCACCTTAGGTGGCCGCTCAGGAGCTTTCAAGGTCCCAGATGCTACTCAGACGAATAGGATGCAGAACATGGTCTTTGTGGACTCTTATGCCAATTGACCGTGGGTCCCCTAAGACTATGGTCCTGAGCCCCCAGGCCCAGCAACTCATTGCCTTAGGATGTTGATCATATCTAGAAGTTTTCATCATTTTGCCTGCTGTGTGCTCCACCTAAAGGAGTTCTGGTAGCTTAGTGGTACGAATCGAGTTGCTAACCTCAGGGTCAGCAGTTTGAAACTACCAGCCATTCTGTGGGAGAAAGATGAGGCTTTCTGCTCCTGTAAAGATTTACAGCTTCGGAAACTCTGTACAGGGTCGCTATGAGTCGGAAGTGACTCCACGGCACATAACAACAACAACATGCTCCACCTAGTTGTGTTTTCAGGAAATGAAAATATTCATGTACAAATAATAAGATCTTTCTTTTCTGGTATACTTCCAGGTGTAAAGGTTCTTTGCTCTGGGAATATTTGGACCTCTAGGTTTCAGCCCACTAATGATTTTATTCTGCTTTAGCAACTTATATCCTAAAAAAGTGCTATTTGAAATAAGCTTCTCCTTTATGTTTCTAAAAAGGCAAGGATAAAATAGTGTAAATTGACAATATGGTCAATGTCTAGCTTGTAATAAAGACTTAGACTAATTGTTGAAGTTACGAACATTGAGTCTCAAGGCACCAGTGCACTTTGTTCATTTGGCTACCTTTCTGCAGTATAAACGCGAGTCACTGTTAGTAAAGTTGTCAAGGTAGTTTACTCTGAAGTGTGATCACCACTGCAGTGTACTTACAAATGGTATAAAAAGCAAAAGACAGGGAAGAAATGTTTGTTTCCTGCCCCCGCCCCCCTTAAACTTACAATACCCAG